AATCCAGGAATCGAAATGCTTATTCGTATTCCAGGCCAATTCAAAATAGATTGGACAGCCACAGGCTGCAACCTGATTTTCTCCGAAGGAAGCTCAATGTTGAAAATGGTGTTATTTTGTTCCGGATGCGGCCGCCTGAAAAACAATTCATTCAGCTGTTGCCTTGTGCATTTAACTTCGATTGCCACCTCGTCGTTTGACGTCGTCGTCGGTTCTCTGACAGTGCTTTTATTTACTTCTTTTATAACTTTCTTGAGCATCGGATCGACTGCCGTTAACATGGACTGCAGGTACTTTTTGAGGCTTCCGTAATTACTTTGCAGCATATCTTTCATTTTGGCGATATTTTTTTGGTCTTTCAATATGTTTATGTCGAAGTCAAACTCGTCCCATTGAGGCCAATCTTTTAAGAAACGCTTGAGTAGGTTCAGGTAAATCTCTACTTCCAATTCATGTGTGTACACGATGTCCATTTCAAACTCTTTTTGTAGTATGTCTATTATTTGGGCGTTAGTTAAAACGGTATTTTGCTTCGTATCGTTTCCTATGAGACGTAGAAACAGCATTATGAGAGGTTTTTCTGTAAAGAAGAGAAATAATGTTTATTAACTATGTATATTTTAAAGACTGTAAACCCTTGAAAAGGTGGCTGACAATAGTGACTGAGTTCCTTGCGCTGCTTCTTCTCAGCACTGGCCCATTTATTGTCCTGAAGCAGTGGTAGGGTTAATACTGGGAGGTGTAAAAGAGCCTACTTGCAAAAATAAAATGAGTTTTTTGTATTTCCTATGAAGTAATTGAACTTTAAAGATAAGCTTATGAGTTTACTATGAGAGGTGATTCTAATTTGAACTCCTCTTATTTCTTCTGATTAAATTCGTTGCAGATTCCAAGACAGTTAGATAACCCCTGGGACTACTCAACCTTTACTGGTTGGGGCTCATTGGAGGCCATGCTAGTTTCAGCGGTAGCCGGTCGATCTCACGATTTTAGTCCAGTCAATTGTGGCAAGGCAAAAAATACTACATGATTGTGTACTAAACTATGCTATTTCATTTAAGTTTCAAAGTGATAGATGGCCCAGGGTTTTTTCGTTAGTAAACAGTAGATCTTGTCTAATCAAGTTGGACACCCCTGCTGTATACACCACTAAATTTTAATCACCGAAAAAAAAATTCTGGGTAATGAGTTATTGATACTGATCCCATTTGTGCAAAAAAAAGAGTAAAATAAAGTGACTTAAAATATCCTCCTAAAATTGGTAATTTATTGACACACGCGTCGCTAGCACTATTTACGTACGATAATGTAACACTTATTAGAATTCCAAAAGGGTCTAAGTTAGCTAAGTATGTAATAATAACACTGGAAGCGTGATCGAGGCGTGAGCGAGACAGACAGATCGATGCAACGTGCGAGCGCGTACGACTACTCTAGCGAGCAGCGGAGTGACCCAGCTGTGACGCGTAAAATACGGACTAAAGAAAATTTAATAAAAAAATTAACTTTATGAAAAACATTTATTTTTCTTTTGCTTTAAATTTTTCACACGTTTCTACATAACATGTTAAAATTTTTTCGGTGATAAAAATTTAGTGGTGTATTATACAGGCATAGGAGTTACAGTGATGGGAAAATGTGGTGGGAATTTGGATAAGTCCCATTACATTTGAGTCCTTAAGTATAAACCTACTAACTACCACTTATGCCTGTATTCACAAACATTACTATGAGGTATGGACGCACAGGGTGACACACGAACAAATCACAGAGCCCTATTCGTTCAATTTGCTGCTTCACTTAAGCAAGCATCGTTTGTGAATACGGGGATAAGTTTCCCAACATATTCTAAAGCAATTATAGCATGTTTTATCTCAAAATACAGCCTAAATCTATGCAATATACCACTCACTGATTAATCACGAAATCTCAGAAACTATAACACCTACAAACTTGAAATTTGGCAGGTAGGTTCCTTATAGGGTTTAGACATCCGCTAAGAAAGGATTTTACGAAACTCCACCCCTAAAGAGGTAAAACAGGGTCCACGCGTACGAAGTTAAATTATGAAATACCATACAGAAAAATAATAACACGTCATGGTATATCCACGCAATTTAAAGAGCAGCTTTTGTAAAAGATCTGACCGAGACTTGGAGACAATAAGCCGATAATTTATGAGATTTTTAAGAAGAATAACTTACCAGCTAAATCGCCTAGACTTGTAAGTAAAGCCGTATCATTATTGTCCACAATCATCACGTCCTCGTTGTCCGTAGTAGCTGTGGACATTGTTATTGTGGTTTTAGACTTATTAATTCAAAATTAGTTTTGAAATCTGCTTTAAAAATCGACACGAAACTTGGAGAAATTGAAAAAACAACACACAAATAAGTGACATTGACTGAAAGTGACACTGACAGACAGTTGACAACTAAACCACAGATTAAACAGACAGGTTACGTCAATATGGCCCTCAGTCCATGAAGCTAAAGATAAAAATGGAGGGCAAAGTTGGAACAAAAACTTGAGTCAAATACCTACTTATATCTATCTCGCTCTCTGCGGCCCTACCTCTCTTTTTAGTGTGAACTGTAGTATTGCTATCTTCTGATTTAAATCTCCTTGTAAATTCTTCGAAATAGCCAATTCACTAACCAAATCAGAAGTTAAACAAATAAATAATTAATATTTGAAACTAAGATTACCTAGTTAAATAAAAAATCACGAAATTGTCGGCCATTTAGGCTTAATGTGTTGGCGAATCAGGGAATTACAATCCCAATTCCTGGGTAATCGGTACCATGTGGCAACATCGGCCCAATCCGGCCCATCATGGCGGTTGTTTACTATTTTGTTTATTAAGCAGTTAATTTCGTTTGAGATTGTTTACAGGAAATAATCATTGTTTTATCACAAGAATTGGTGCAAAATTTTGTAGTGCGTGGTTGCGGTAGTACGTGGTGTCCTGGAAGTGACATAAGATTCCACGCGTAAGTGTTTATTTCGTGATTTCCGACATTGGATCATTGTAAACATTTTTCACATTTTTTACAGTAATTTCTTCCTAAAACGTTTTACCAGTAATTACACTTATCATTTTTAATGATACCTATGTCAAGAAATAAAGATTTTACATTGGTTTCATTGAATTTGAGCAATTTTATATTTTTTGTTTATTTAGAAAGAGCGAGTCTGCCCACAGAGAGCGAGATAGTGATACTTAGTTTGTGCTTCAAGTAGGTATTCGGAGTGTGGCCTCCATTTTTATCTGTAGCTTCATGCCTCAGTCCGATTTATGTTATTTTTTTTTTTTTTTAATGGACGCGCGCTGGTAGCTTGAGGAGCTTTTCCAGCTTCACCGGGCAGAGTGGCGAGTACAGAAGGTACTCTAGCCGTTGGCGATCGTCGGTGCGCGTGCCGACGAGGCCGAGTGTGGGCAGGCTCGTCCGCGTCGGTCGCAGACCGACGTTCGCGATCGGGCCGTATCGAGCGCATAAGGCGCCCGATCAGTGGCGATACCAACTAGAGGGTTGCCCACCGCGGTGTTGGACCAAAGTCCAGCCTACGGCGGGCTCACTCTAGTGGGCCCGATCGATCGAGGGGACTACGGACGCGGCCTGATGAGGGCGCCACGGTAGGCTCGGACCTCGGCTCAGGCCGTGTCCGGGGGACGGTTTTTTTTTATAATGTTGTGTTAGTTTATATTTCACTCTATATCCGCGGGAAGCTGGAGCCCGAGCGAGACGAGTCGCAAGTTAATAAAGTTCTTATTTTGTTACAGCCCCTGCTTGGACGACGAAGTGTGCTGTCCTTTCACGGCTCTCGTCGTACAAGCACAACCTACCGGCGAAACCGAAGACAACTCCGTCAATGATTCGTCTTTTGATTAGTTAATAAATTAGTTTACCAAATCTTATCAATTAATTTAATAATAAAAAAAAAGACTTCAGTTTGTCATAATTTAATGTTACCAATATAAATACCACAATAAAAACAATAATTATTACAAAATATTCGATTTGGCAAGCTTCATGAAACAAAAATCATTTTGATCTTGATTTTTTTGTCTGCTATCACAAATTCAAAATTGTTGCAAATAGTTTTCAAAGAGGCCATCTATCGGTGGGAGTAAGTTTCAAGTAGCGCCATCTATTAGTGAAAACTGGCATTCATAGCGCCATCTATTAGTGCGAACTGGCATTCAAGTAGCGCCATCTGTTAGTAAAAACAGGCACTCACAGCGCCATCTAGTAGTGAAAATGGGCATTTTTAGTAGCGCCAGCGGTTCCAAAAGCGCCATCTGTTGTCCAGTTGAGGTATCATGTTTTTGGGTTATTGCTCGAAGTTGCAAAGACTGCAGTCGGGGCAGCGCCTCTTCCTGCGGCGACTGTGTTTGTCGTCCAGCTTGTAGTCGTAGTGACCTGACCTGGTTCTGGAGCGGGATGCAGACCTGAATAGGAATTAGAGACCATATTCATGAGGAATCATTTCAAATTAAATAACAATTTCACGCGAAGGAGTTAACGTTATTTAAGGACTGACTTTAATCCTAAATCTCAAATCTTTGTGCCGTGCAGCGCAGACGCAGATTTAAAAAAATAAAACAAAACTGTCAAACATGACGCTTCCATTTCCCGCCAAAAAGCTTACCACAGATAACTAAGGCTGAGTTGCACCACCTTTATTTTGACAGTGACTATAACCAGAACCGACGTTTTTTGCAAGGAGTTGACAGACTTAACGTTTGTTAAATTTAAAGTAAGATGGTGCAACCCAGCCTTAATATTCTAGCGCATAGGTTAGGTTAGGTTAGGTTTTTCTTGAATGTTGGCATTACCTGGATCGCGAGCGGGAGAGCCGGGGTGAGTGCCGGCACTCGTCCATGTCGTCGTCAAGCTGCCCCTTGAACAGTACGCCCCAGTACTGGTAAGCCAGGTAGATGAGCGTCAGAACGCCTGCTACCTGGAACATAAACCGCGCGTTACCTATGTCTTCACCCTTAAAACTCAGTAAATAAGGGTCAATTTTCAGTACTAGTACACCAGGATTAGCGTCAGTCCGCCTGCTAACTGAAACATACATCTGCGCTTGTGCCATAGCTTGTGCAGGCAAAGCCGCGGGTAGAAGCTAGTTTTATCAAAAGGTACAACTAAACATAGGTTAATTCCAATTTGGGTAAGCTGGGAAGGAAAATAAATAAGTCAAATTGCTTCTGAAGCAATAAGCAAGCTCCTGTAAGCAAACAACACAATAAACCAATTAGTCGATTAAGATCCATTAAGATAAGACGTATTATTTACCACAATAGCAATTACACCATTTGACTGAATTTAGAAGACATAATAATAGGTGGTTAATCTAAATATCTTAATGGATTAAGTAGTATGACTTTCTGATATGCTTTATTACGCATGATCAGTGCGTGCTCTAGGTTCCTACGTATTTTCCAGGAAAATTCGTGTAAAAACACGCATTTAAAAGGAAAAATTGTAGAAACTACTTCTAAGTGACTTGAAAAAGCTTAATACTGGCTCAGAATACGGAACAAACCAGAAACCGTCAACGGGCGTAAATGTGTATTCATATAAAGTACTCCAAATCGCACTACTTTGACTTTAGAGCAATCAGTCAATGGCCGGCGCGCGCATTGTTTACATATCCGTCAGATTGACACTTTATAATTAAATTATGCCGTCTTGTGCCGTTCCAACATGTAAGAATGCTACTGGAATTACGAAGAAAGTGCATGGGATCATGTTTTATCCGTAAGTAGCACATTTCCAATTCATTTTAATTAAATAATAATTTTCAAAAAAAATCACGGTTGTATTTTGTAAGTGTTGCCACAGGTCAACGGAATATTTTACCCTACTTTTTTATATTGAATTACATTTGTCTACTTATAAAAAATTCACGCGTTAATTTTGTTAGCGTTACCACAGAATAATGGAATATTTTCCCCATCCTTTTTGTTTTAATTAGTTTTTAGTGTAATTTCATCCATGACATGACAACCTGATTAATTAAATTATAAGTGCCACTTGTGGTCTAAACTGAATAAATATTTTTGATTTTGATTTGATTTCAATATATTGAATTAATTTATAATATTACTCCCTAATAATGAGGAGATAATAAATTACTATCGTGAATTTCATACTTTCCCATTTATTCAAAAGTAAGGCATTGGTATCAACAGATCAGCAGCAGCAATATTTGTATATTTAATAATAATTTTAAGTAATTAATTATTGCTTACATACTTACTCTGATTTTTTTTCAGGATACACAGCCAGAGTTGCCTCGCAATCAAATTTAAGTATTGGTGATGTTTTTGATTTGGATTCTGTTTTTGACTCCAAGAAAAGTTAAACTAAAAGCACTACTGCGCCGTAAACAAATGTTTTGTTGTCGATATGTTTACATAATAAAGAACCTTAAGTTTCTTTTTTGTTTTACTTGGCATTCTAAAATTTATATTCGACTTTTGTAATTGACTTTTAAATAACATATTATACCTACATAAAATATAGTACATATATTACACTATTTAATAGAAATAAATAATCATCTTACACTTAGTTACTTCGGAGTAAAAATTAAATTCATAGGTAGGTAGGTACTATCTATGCCTATGGCCAGTCATGTCGTCTCGTTCTATCGCAAAGAATCACCATTTGATAAGAGCGAGAGCAAAAACGGAAATGGATAGTTAACACTGGCCGTGTGTACTTATTTCACTTACTTATTTTTTACTTGTTTAACATCTCTTTAAAAAATTACATAATTTTACCCCAAAAATGGGGGTGTCACACGGCGCTAGTAACACTAAAGGGGGTAGAGGGGCGCGGGAGGGGAAGTATTTTGGACACAAGTTGCCGCGTAGAAATGTTATCGAACACTCCTTCTGGTTTGTTCTGTATTCTGAGAATACTGGTTATTTACTTGATTGGAAGCAGACACCATAATTTTATTACATCATAAAGTAGTTACCAGGAGTCCAGGATGTCGGAAAGAAAAAAAGACCACAGAAAAAGAAAACCAACCGCAATATTCAGCTGTCTCGCTCGCACGAAGTCTATCATGGAGTCTACCAAGGACTCCATAGCTCCTGTATACGAACTTTACGCGGGCTTCTGCCGAGAAACCACTTTGCATGGATTAAAACATACTGTAAAAGACCAAGTGCACTGGTGCGAAAGGTAAACACAAAATACTGGGCAATTTTCTATATTATATTTCTTTGGGAAACGAGAATTTACATTGTGCTGTCAAATGACGGGACTGACAGTTGGCAGTTCGATTTGCAAATCTTGGTTTTTTTCTTGGTGGCCAGCTTGATCCCAATCTGCCAAGAAGGTTTTAATAAGTCCTCACCATGTTCGGTGTCCTCCCTTTATTGGTTACTAGCTGACCCGGCGAACTTTGTTCCGCCTTAATGGCAATAAATAAGCAGACTTTTTTTTAATTTCGAACGGGATAAAAAGTATCCTATGTCCTTTTCCTGGCTATAAACTACCTCCCTGACAATTTTCAGCTAAATCGGTTCAGCCGTTCTTGAGTTATAAGCGAAGTAACTAACACGACTTTCTTTTATATATATAGATTTTCGATGAGGGAGATCCATAACCCAAAGATTTCCACAGCGACTGGTCCTGCTGCCAGCATCCGTACCTCTTTCCTATTATTTTTGAAGCTGGAGTGTATTATTTTACACATTCTTAAAGTTTGTTCGAGCAGGTTCCTCTGGTTCGTGCTGACCCTCAGTGCCTTCTTCGGTGCGGTCTACTGCGCACTGAGCCAGCTATCCAGGTGGGCACTATTTTACTTTCTCAAACCGTCTGAATTCGAAAGTTATTTTGTATTCCCAGTTGAGTTGTCAGCAGGGTACTCCTTAAGATTATGTCATTGTACACTTTAAGGATACGCCCATGCACACCCACATTGTATCATTATTCATCATCATTTCCCGACACTACCTACCAAAGTGGAGTGAAACAGAGGTGTGTGGCAGATTTTCAAATTTTTACACCCCCAGCCCTTTCTACTCCGCTGTAGTACCCACCCAACGAAGGATGGGGCCTACCCAGTAAAACTCGGCGGAGCTTCCAGTTGCTGTCTGTCAGACATTACAAATACAAATATTTTATTCAGTACTTTAAGTCCTTTCCAGGGCGCTTACTTATACATACACGTCCCAAATAGTTTTCCCTACCACCACTTCGAGACAACATGGGCACGTGCTGAGAAGTTTCGTCCGCAGCTCCGTCCTAAGCTAGTATACCAGTAGTCCTAAGATGCACGCCGTGATAACTTTTATCGACGTCAAAATGTATGGGCAAAATCGATAAAACGGCGTGATAATAACCACTTATCGCGGCGCGCATCCTAAACTGATTGATCTCATTGGGATGTTCCTGCAGGTACAACGTGGAGCCGGTGGTGGTGTCGATGCAGCGCGACTACCGGCGCTGGTGGAGCACCTTCCCCGCCGTCACCGCCTGCTTCACCGACCGCGTGGAGCCCGACAAGGCCAAGCTGGCCATCGAGATGTTAGCTACTACCCCTAGCCTAGCCGCAGACTTATGCTTCAGCCACATCAACCGCGGACTGTCATGGGTCGCGCGACCTGTCATTGACCTATGATCGCGCCGGCGATGGCGCGGCGATCTGCACGCGTTAGTGCCTTTTCACACGTCCCGGTTGCCGGCTAACCGGCGCCGGGTATCCGGTGGTGAAGTGTATGGGCATGGTACGTAGCTTTCACATGTTCCGGCGTAATTAATCCGGCATGCCCATACACTTCACCACCGGGTACCCGGCGCCGCCGGTTAGCCGGCAACCGGAACATGTGAAAAGGGTCTTAGTGTGGTTGAAGCTTTACAAACTTTTTGTCGGCCGATAGTCAGGTATAGGTTGCTCAACAAGAGTTGAGGCAAACAACTATCGTCACGCGACCAATACGGATTGATGCTGGAGGGAGTTGTCTGTCAGTGTAAGGTAATATGGACAGGCACAGTTCGTGCTACCCATTTCCAGTCATGTTGTCTCGTTCTATCGCAAAGAATCGCTATTTGATGACAGCGAGAGAAAAAACGGTAAGGGGTAGCTGGATCTGTGGCTCACTGTACATAAGTTGTATGTGTGTATGTGTTTTGGTGATCAGTTTATAAGACATGCTGGTTACAGACCAAAAGCTAAGCTAAAAGTTATTGGTCTCCCGCCTAACTCAGTCAGTGCCTAAGGTATGGGAGCAGCACGGGAGGGGTGACATTGACATAATGACATGACAGAGCATATTATTATAAATCTGAAGAAGATCTGAAGTCTCGTTCAGGACGCGTGCTGCGCCGTCGTGGCCTCTTTAGAGCCCTTTTTTCCGTCGGGAAATGCTTTGCGCATAACCACTGGCAAGCCACTGGCCGATGGGGGTGGTCAGTGGATTATGTGGGACTCCCAGCCAGAAGGGCGGGGCCTATCCACTAAAACCCGACGGTGTTCTACGGGGTCATTGACATGGAGCCGAGGCCTCTTTGAGCCCTAGTTTAGCTAATTTTAGCTCACATACTCGTAGCTGATGCAGTTTTCCATACTGTTTGGTTAAGTTATTCATCACTTCTAGGAACTGGAACGTGACAGAAGAGTCTGACCCGACCCGCTACGCGTACTACGCCGGCTTCATCGACCTGGTGACCGACGTGTCCTTCAGGAGCAACCTGCAGAACTTCTGGAAGTACCAGAACGATGAGTCCGTCAGGGGCATTGATCTGCTGCAGCTGGCTCTGAGCGTGCACCCGACTATACTGCTGAAGGTCATGGTATCGGACTCTATTAAAGAGGTACGCATTAAAAAGGGGATTAATTATGGGCCATTTAATTTATAAACTGCATGTAGTTACCTATTTTATTTGTGACCTAAGTGTACCTATGATATGTTTATTTTATTTTTAAGCTTGTAAGCGCTTTGGACCTGCTCTGTAAGCTTACAAGTGTTTTGCATTAATAAATAAATAAATAAATTAAGCTTATTATCACGTTAAGTTTTGTATTGATTTATTAGAAGTAGGATCTTGAGTAGACCATGCAGCTTTCTGTCGCTATTATAACTTCTGAAAAGAAGGTGTAGAAGTAGAAGATATTGAGAAAGTTCTGGCTGTTTTAAGTGATGAGCTAAAAATGTAGTTTTCTTCTAGTTTCTACTGTTGATTAAGAGGCTGACAGAAGTGACTGAGTTTCTTGAGCTGCTCCTTCTCAGCACTGGCCCCACAGATATTGTGACTGGCCCTCATTATTGCCCTGAAGTATTGATCAATGGTGGAGTTAAAATTGTACTGAGACGTGTGACGATAAGGCCGGGTTCCCACTATGCCGGACCGGCATTTCTGCCGGAAACCGGACACCGGATCCGAAATCCGAGCCGAATGAAGTGCGGGGAGCACGAGCGGGGCAGGGCGGGAAGCACGGGCGCGGCGGGGTGGGCCGCAACTCGTTCACATTACTCCGGTCCGGTGATTTTGCCGGCATTTTGTAGCGACAAAACGCTCGGTAAAAATGCCGGGCTCGGCGAAAAAGCCGGATCCGGGATAATGTGAACAGCTTCATACAATTTGTACCGCCGCTAGGCCTTCCGGCGATTTTACCGGACCGGGAGATCTGCCGGTCCGGCATAGTGGGAACCCGGCCTTACAGACCTTCAATATCACCAAAACCTTTCGGTTTTCCAAATGGTCCCAAACGAAAAGTACTCGTCCCGATTTGGAGGACTTAAAAACTGATCTATAGTAGATATAGGTTTTTAGACGCGTTATTTTTCCAGGTGTTCTGGATGCCAGTCATGACAGAGGTGGGCATGTGTCTGACCTTCAACTCGATGTATGCGAGGTTCCAGTTCATGCTGCCAGACCTGGAATGGCACCAGACTGAACTGCATAAATGCCACTACCATAGCGGGCAGTGCTATGTCAGGATCGACTCCGTGAACAATGGTGTTAGGGTAAGTATTTAGGGAAATAAACCTGATAGAGCTAACTGCGCAACTCGCTGGAATGCAATTTTCCCTCGCACTCATCCGCACACCTCCCCGAGCTCGCCCCATCAGTACCACAACGTCGATGTGACGTCACAGCTGTCAGGTGCGCAGTTAACTCAATGGGGTTGTAGAAGGTGGTTTAAAATAATGTGCTTTTGAATCTGGTAGTTCTGGCTTTTAATATCTACCCTATTTTTGCTTGCAAATAGTTTTAAATTAGGTTATGCTGAATTGCTGATGCATTTGACTTTTTGCAATCAGCAGTCACCCGACTGCAAGCGCTTGATCATATCTTCAAATCTCACCACAGTCAGTTGATATTCAGTGAAAAATTGTGTTGGAGATCTAATTTAGAATTAATTAACTACGAGTACCTACTTATAGGTTGATGAAATCCCCTGTTTAAACTTGATCTTCATTTGTTTCCGACAGTATTTCGTCCATTCTCCGTTCGAGATATCCACCGCAATCTCCAATCCGACTGGAGAGGTAATGCCGGGGGAGGAGCTGATTATCGACTTTAAGGTCAGGAACAAAATAAATCGTCAATTAATGCTTGATTGATATTAACTGGTTCATACACTAAGGCAGGGCATTCACCAGTCTGTCACCGAACCTTATCCAGTGCTGCCAGCCAACTGGGGAGCGAAAATGTATTACAAAAGTGACACGCTCACTCACACGCTGCATAAAATTCTATAATGNTATTATAACACCAACAATCGTATAAAAGTATAACTCTACACTAGTCTACACTCCTATAAGTCCCTTAGACAGGTATAGGTGTAATTAATTGCAATAATACAGCTTATACATCACGAGTGAACTGTACTAATGCTTTAAGTACACATTGGAACTAAATGTGAACTCTTAAATGGAGTAAAATGTTACTTGGGAATGGTTCTTTTAACCTCAACTGGAAAGCTCTTACAAACTTGAATCAAACTAGCAAAAATAAAAAAGAAGCAAAGAACCAAACTGTGACGATCAAGCCGAAGGTGGAAGAAAGCTTCACTCGGAATCCCAAAGATTAGACGACTGATGATGATGATAATGATAACACGGTGTTCACATGTTAATTAATGCACCCAGGCTGTCGAGATCCAGGCTTCACCAAGCGTGAAGAAGCTCCGACCTGACCAGCGCCGGTGCCATTACCCTGATGAGTGGATCAGCGACTCTGTCAGGGTAAGCAAACGATGTCTCATGAAAAGCCGGTAGCAGAAGCTGGACACCATAAGTCGAAGATAGCCCTCCTGTTTCTTATTTTTACTTTAGTTCTTTAATTCTTCCGACAAAGATTTTCACAACGACAAGTCCTAAACTGCCCGCATTTAGCTTCCCGCCTTCACCAGACCTGACTCTACTGATTAGGAGATTAAACTTCGGGTCCGTCATTCGAGAATTTTTCTGCCCTAACGGCATTTTGCTCTACAAGCTGTGTGCCCTACTGCCCATTGCCTGTTCTTAATTTCTCTGCTGTTTTTTTCTAGGCTTACAGCTTCGGACTTTGCCAGATGCACTGCAGGAACCGAATGGCGCTGATGTTTTGCGGATGCCGGCCTTTCTTTTATGTCAAAGGAGGTATAATAAATACACGTATCCTCATCATCCCTCATCCTAAGTCATCCTCCCATAATGCTCCCATATATCCACCTCACATTTAAAAAGTTCATTCAAATGTCAAATAAAAACTTTTTGAACACACTGGCACATACAACGACGTTGTCTTTCAACCAAACCTGTCAAGCTAACGTCATTACAAAAAAAAATCGGAACCATTTGCGTTTTCCAGTAAACATTTTGTGATAAAACTTGATAAAATAAATTCAGTTCAGTGTCGTCGCTGTATTTGAGGTCATCGCCCGCGTTCCCGCCAAAAGCAATTTTGTTTTCAAGATGGCGCTCCCTGCGACGCGATTGGGATGGCGTGCATCGGCCGCAACGTCGAAATACTTATCAACCTGCCAAAGAACCTCGCCAAATGCTCCTGCCTTCCTCAGTGTTCCGAGCTCAACTTCTATTCTCATACAAAAAAGGTCGTTAATAGGTGAGCTTCTTGAAAATGACAGCATTATTGATTGACCTGAGGATGATGGGTTACTCCGAAAAACGTTATGCCAAGTTTCGAATAGTGCTATTCCTCTCACGCAAAGCGAGAAGCCAGAATGAGGGACGGTGACAGAAAGACCCGAAACTGTGTAAACAGCGTTTCGGAGTAGCCCTGCTGAAGTCATCGACCTAGTTTTTCCAATTTCTGGGTTATCTATCCAACTTCTTGGCGGGAAAGTGAAGCGTCATCGTTAGCAGTTTACTTTTTCTTTTTGTACTAGGGAGCCAGGTAGGTCCGTCAATTTTCATTAAGTAATTAAATAATTATTTCTATGTTCAGTGATTTGAAATACTATAGCCATAGCTTTAAAGCCCGTTTTCCACTGCCAAAGAGGAATTACTATAGTCTTTTTCACGTAAGATGATCCGTATGACACTTCAAGGTTATCCATATTACGCATACTACAAATGCAGAATGTTTTTGAAAAAATATTTGTATTTTATTAGCAATATAATAAAAAAAAATTCATGACTTGTCTTGAAATATATAGTAAAATCTGAGTCTATTGATTATATTTTAATTAAATACGATGTAAAAACAGTTTTTATTTCATGTACGCAATGTGTGAAACGGAATAGATTTAGTGCTGGGGTATTTCTTGTACAATAAAATCGATTATTTCCGCGGTTCATTAATCGATTGCAGTGAATACTTAGTTATTAAAAACATCACAAAAATCAACTATATTTTTCGATTATTGACTTTAATAAACGCATTGAAAATAAATTAATAGTTTTTAATTTAAAGAAACAGAACCAGTACTTTTTAGGAATCGTTTTTTTGAACACGAACCATGAAATTTGAATTTTATCAATAAAAAATTGTTACAATAATATTTTTAATTAAAAAAAAAAACATGTTTTTTGTTAAATAACACCTATATAAAATAATTCTCTAAAAGTAGGTTTTACTAAATCTTCGAAAAATTTTTTTTTTTTTTTAATTTCTCAAGAAACAACTTTATTAAACAATAACAAACTAAAAGACAATGCCGGAAATTGGCGTCTTTTTTTCTTCGCGCGGCCATCGATCAAACCTTGTTTTTTGATTACAAAATAGTGTAATAAACCAAACTTACTATGACATGTATACCTCTAAACTCAGTCTGAACTGAGTTACGAGCATAAGAAGTTTGATGATTTTCATACTAGATTTGCTCTTTGCGCGCAAGTTTTGTAAGAAGTTGCAACAAAATAGTGACATTGTGTGTGTAAACAAACAATACCATCCATTAAAGGCTCCAGACATCAATAAGCAGCAGAATCAGCGCAATAAAAAAATAGCGCAATATTTTGTTGCAATTTCTTACAAAACTTGCGCGCAAAAAGCAAATCTAGTATGAAAATCATCAAACTTCTAATGCTCGTAACTCAGTTCAGACTGAGTTTAGAGGTATACATGCCATAGTAAGTTTGGTTTATTACACTATTTTGTAATCAAAAAACCAAGTATGGTCGATGGCCGCGCGAAAAAAAAAAGACGCCACCTTCCATACAAAATCTGGCATTGCCATTTGTACAGGTAATTTACAAACTTAAAAACTATACTATATACAAAAAAAAATCGATAGATAAATCGCTATGGTTTAGTTATGTGACATCTCTAAATCGTTCAAACTCGAAACGTCATACGGATCATCTTAGGTGAAAAAGACTATAGGGATGTCTAGAGGAGCGATCTTGCTTTTCTACTGAGAAAGAGTTCGGGAGCTCATTACTCTTTTTGCCCTCTGTCATTTTCACTCGACTCTAAAAGCATTTTTGTATTGCGTGGTAAACGGGTCGCTCCGTTCGCAGTGGAAAACCCGCTTAATAAAAAAAAAAAACTTAACGAAAAAGTTTCATTACTAAAATATATAAAATAGGTAGGTAATCGTCATGTTTTAAATATCCTAATAATAATATGTAATAAATAAATATCCTTAAACATTTTACAATCCTTGGACAGTCCCAAACTAAGCAAAGCTTGTACTATGTATGGGTACTAGACAAAGGATATAAACATAATAATAACTTACTTTTTTTTGTAAAATACATTAAAATTCATAATTTCAATTTCTGCCCGGCCGGGAATCGAACCCGGGACCTCTCGGCATAGTAGTCCGTTTCCGAACTACTACACTACCTACACCAAACGGCCGAGCATTTTTATGCTACGGGACTATTCCTACCTCATTCCTACCGCTGCAACTCCTGTGTAGTCAGGTCAAGTTTGTCCCGGGGGAAAGATAAACTGTCATTGGACCCGCAACGAAATTAATCAGAAGAATTTTTCTTAACTGCCCACATTCTACTATTATCTGGACAATTTGTATTACATGAATGTGACGGAGATGGTCGACGACGAGGACCGCGTGTCGGCCGTCAGGATCAACATGATGCCGCCCAAGTTCAGGCTCAATCGTGACGTCATATTCACGCTCGAGGACCTTTTCGGTTTGGAAACTAGAATGCATGCATGAAGCTGTTGGTCGATTTACGCATGGTGTGGTTTGCTTTTTGACCAGCTTTTAAAATAAAAAATACCAAACTGATTTTTTTGGAAAAGATACAAAAACAATTTTTGATTCGGTTGTGGTCCACTATTAACTTTTGATGCACGAGAAAAACAGTTTTCTAGCTGCATGGTGTGTCTTCTATCAGAGATGTTCTTGAAAATCTGGAGGTAAGATGCACTTTCTTTGTTATTAACTTAGGTATAGTTAAGACAGTAGCGAGCCACTACCATACACATACACATATGTAAAGCTCACTCGCCTTCGTGAATTGCAACAAATAATACCAGAATTTCTCTGTGTCTTCTTAGGGTACAAGATGGCAGTGGTGTGATTCTTCAGCTACACCCAGCACCCAGCACTGCAAGACTAAAGCTAGACATTCATGCTCAAGTAAACTTATCAGTTCAACTGACCATGAATGTCCAGCTTTTACCGAATTTTGGCACCATTTTCTCAGCAGATGTACCTATCACTACGCGAGCCCTCCAGTACCCTACATAATCAACTAAAAACATTGTTTCAATACACATTTTTGTTTGCAATTTTGTTGAATGTTGACATGTTTTTGTTGATTGTGTAGGGCAGACCGGACTGGAGGGAGACCCGGCTTTAAATTTGACAATTCTATGTCAAATCAAGAATGTTTTCCACTGCTTCCAGCGTCTCTCGGCGGCACCACAGCCTTGTTCGTCGGCGCCAGTGTGCTCACCGTGGTGGAGACGATGCTTTTCATGCTGCGACACATCATCAGGTTCATAATATTGCGCAGGCCCATTGGAAGACGGATTATTGAGTTTAAACCTTAGGTTTTTGTTGGTAAAGATGTATGTGTGTGAATTTAGCGGCAAATAGTTGTTAGCCTAAGCGTAGAAGTCAAAAATAGCTTAGGTTATTCTTAATCGAATCTGTTTGTTGTAATAGAGAGATATAATTAATTAAATGTTATGAAAAAGAATTGTGTTTCAATTCACTTGGCAAATTAGAAATAGGAATGTAACCCAGAACCGCTGAGTTGAGAGACCATTACTTTTTATCTAGCCACGTAACTTAGCCTACCCGCTAAAATGCAGCTGTTAGATACTTAAGTAACAGTATACATACCTACATTAATAACATTCAAAGCAGGACAGCTTAGCCGGGTCTCTAGCGCGTATTTTTCCATACACAATCAGCAAAACATTCAACAAAAATGTTGATTGTTGACATGTTTTTTGTTGTTGTTGTGTATAAAGGCAAAACACGGCCTAAAGGACACCCAACCCAACCAGAGCCCCGATTACGGTAACTTTTAACGTCTACAATCCAGACACGCTTCATCGATTCTGCGATACGATTGGTCAAAACAGCTGACGTACGCTGTTGAACGACCAATCGTATCGCAGAATCGAGAAGCGTGTCTGGATTGGAAACGTTAAAAGTTACCGTAATCGGGACTCAGTGAAGGAACCCGGGAAAAACTAATCTGAAATATCTATCAAAGCAGAAACGAAACGTAAGCGCAGCCTTCTCGACTAACCAAAACAAAACCAAACGCACCTGTCAAAGAAACATCACTCAGTTGTCAAAATTAGCCCCTCCCTCTCTCTCCAATTTATTTATTTTCGATTTTTCTAACCTAAATTTAGAATAACACATATCGAACGACCAACGAAAATGTTCATAACGATCATAACATTCGCTCTAAATAGTTTTTATTACGTTTTCAATTTAGTTTATGTTATAATTTCGATGTTGCACACAGTTCTGCCTTTCGGGATCGATGTTGGATTATTGGGTGTTGCTGCGTATTATTTGACGAGATTGAAGAAGCCACAATACAATAATGTGGTCAGTATCTTCGGGCCTGAGGCTGGAAGCAAGGAGAGCGAACTACATCCCGAAAAAGTGGTGCGATGTATCGCGCACAGAGGCGCGGGCTTGGATGCGCCAGAGAATACTTTGGAGGCCTTCAAATACGTAAGTTTGTGGTTTATTTAACATTATAGTTATCGTAGAAGTGTTAATTATGAGATAGATAGTGTAATAAGATCATAATAGTCCAGTATAACTATACTATCATTATATTTATACATAACTATCATAAATCATAATACTTGTGTAAACATAGATAATGTGTCAATTTGTACTGTGTACCCAACAGCAATAATATAAACTAATCCATTTCTGTGAATATAAACCTCTCAGTTTTCTAAAAGCAAAGTATTTTTTGTCGGTTCAATGAGTAAACGGATTCCAGTTGTAATTAAATCCTAATTTAGTTGGTTCTTTAGTAGTATTTTTTATAAATCATTTTAGTGAAATTTAACACTCTATTGAATGCAACACATTCTTATTTATTATGTTACACTATTCTATACCCAGACTCTTTTATTGATAAAAAGTTACGCCCTAGTTGAACACTGTTTTAAAGTGACATTTCCATACTAAAACTTTTTATTAATAAGAGGGAGACAGTGCAAGACATATCCTCCTGAAATCTTGTATTACAAGTCCTCCTTTTGCCATACTCCTACAGTGTAGACTAAAAGACGTCAAGATAATTCAATATGTCTTCCATTGCAGTGTGTAGACCACGACTGCTACTTTGTGGAGCTGGACGTGAGATCCTCCCGGGACGGTCAGTTAGTCCTTCTCCATGACCAGGGCCTGGAGAGGCTGGCCGGGACCAGCGTGTCTGACGTCAGGGTCATGGACTGGGAGTCTATCAAAAACATCGATATAGGGGCTACACATCCTAATAGGTGAGTAGAAATTGATGTCAGTTGTCTGAAATGATAGAGGAAATAGACTAAAAATTGCTAAGTGGACTATTCTCACCGCTGCAACTCCTGTGTAGCCAGGATCTTGCTAAGGGAAGCTAATAATAATAAGGTTGTGTTGACTTTGAGGTACTTCCCGCTTGAGCCAACTTGTATGGCTATAAAACTGTTAAGTTGGGATTAATCGCTATCAATCTGTTAAAGAGGACAATTGAGATCATTATTTGGTTTTATAACCATAAAAATTGGTAATTGATCCCAGAGGTGAGCCCAAAGTGAGGTCTTTTTTCAAGTCACATTTATGGTATATGTTAATCATTTATTAAGAAATGAAATGTGTTTTTCTTTAAGGATATTTATTTGGCTTTCAAATAACACCAATATTGTTGGGGCACCATGATTGTGTCAGAAGAAAATCTTTAAAGTTCGCGTCGCGGGAGGGTCGATTTATTTGATGTCGAGTGTATTTGACGCTGACTGTACATGTCTTTTGTCCACAGGCACCATTTCAAGGAGGTGCACCTGTGTCTTCTAGACGATGCGTTGGACTACTTGCTGGAACACAAAGTGCGCATGATCATCGATGTCAAGGGGGAAGACAAACAGGTGATTTTTTCAATAATAATTAGTAATTCTACCAATGAAATTGCTATATTGTATACCACAGGGTAGTATTAAATAGCGCCATCTACGAAACTAATGATCAATATCAATGCCATGTTTAGTAATTGGCATATCTAAAGTCCAGTCGGCGAGCATATAAAATTTCGTCCAATGACCCCAAGCTACCCATTCTTATCGCTCGCGCGTAATTATTATAATTATTGCCTTTGCGTTCGCACACTCATTGCGGCCGCCCGTCGCACAGTCGCGAAAGCAATATAATTAGGTACGCGCGAAAGATAAGGATGAGTAGCTTGGGGTCATTGGACGAAATTCTATCTGTTCGGCGACTGGACTATATGGGGGTATATTTTCGGTAGTCTAAAATCGGCGTCTTCTCACTGGGTCAAATAACCCAAAAGGAATAAGCCATAGAAAAAAAGCTTTTTATCAGATAATAAGTTGAATAGCACTGTTTGTTTTCCTAATAAAATAAAATAAATAAGTAAGAAATAATAGAGTAATTAATATCATATTGCAGGTCATCAACGGCATCCTAAATACATTCTCTAACAGACCTTCACTGTACCAGTACGCGGCTGTGACGTGCTTCAACCCTTTCGTGCTGTACCAGGTAAGGGACTTAGCAAGGGACACTATGTATTACCACAGAATGCATAGTAATAACCGGTTGTTGGGGAAGCTACATTTGGGATGAATTAGCCCTTTAGTCTCAGAATGTCCAATTTGCAAAATGTCAAGTGGTATCAAAATGTCCAAGTCTCAAAAGTTCAAAGTTTCTTAAGAAATTATGAAATGAAAGCTCTTTATTAGAATCTTTGAACTTATAAGACTTGGACATTTCGCAACTTGGACATTTTGAGACTTGGACAGTTTGCGACTTGGACGTTTTGCGACTTGAACATTTTGCGATTTGGACATTCTGAGACTAAACCGTTCAATTTTGTAAGATGGTAAAGAGCCCTAAGCGTGCGAATCTCGAACAAGAAATATTTGTTATTCTTTAATTATTTTATCTTCAGATCCGCAAGAAAGACCCGCAGATCGTAGGCGCGGTGAGCTACCGTCCGTATTGCTTCAGCGCCCAGGATTACGACGCGGAGAACGGACCCAACCGACCCAGGTAATTAATAAATTATAATAATTGTGCCGCACGGACGCGGGGCACGCAGGGCTAGCGGTCATTACTCGACCGACCGCCGAGCGGAGCGGTCATTACTCCATCGACCGCCGAGCGGAGCGGTCATTACTCCATCGACCGCCAAGCGGAGCGGTCATTACTCGACCGACCGCCGAGCGGAGCAGTCACTACTCAACCGACCGCCGAGCGGGGTGGAAACTATCCAGTGTTTTATTTATCACCAGGCCTATAGCCTTATTCACGTAACAAAAGTTCAACGACAACAAATCGCTGAATGCGATCCTATCGAGTAATCGTACTATCGAAATGACCCTTGTGAATACGGATTTAGACCTGTTTTTCTTTTTTTTTTTTGTGGCAACCAAACCTCTCTGGGAGGTTTATTTCTGCCAATGTCGAGTGAAAAATATTGACATAGTTATCAATAGAACGTGGGTGTTTCAGTTCTATTGATTTTTTATGGATTCCGTGGAGTTAAGTATGCCCGTAAGCAGGTTTCGAGACGCCACCGGGTCCAAAGCGGGTTGTTCATACGACAACCCACTCGACACTCGATGCGCGCTCAAATTCGAAGTATTTCAATGTTTTTATAATTTATCACTTCACTGCACTTTAGAACACAAAATAACACCAAATTTGTACACTAAAGTCCATTAAATAATAAATTGAAACCATTAAAACAGATCGACCATGCTTCCCGTTCAACTACCCTCCACGGAATCCGAACTGTTTTTCAATGGAACGACTTCTGTACCTCTAGTAGGAAAACTTTCGAGTTCGTTTCGTTGCGTATTCAAAGTGTCATCGAAAAATTTTGTATGAAAAATTAAACAGCGCCCCCTAGGGCGGCTATAATATAGGGGGCGCTGTTTAATTTTTCATACAAAATTTTTCGATGACACTTTGAATACGCAACGAAACGAACTCGAAAGTTTTTCGTACTAGAGGTACTGAACGTCAGCGAGATCTTGACTGTCAAAATACGTGAACTAGGCCACAGGCCTGTTCATCTACCCGAGTAGGAACCGAAAGCGGGTTTAATCCATAAAAGATTCACGAGCGAGTAGTGAGTGACGTAAGCGCGCGTATTTTTCACCCATCGTAAAAAAATATTAAATAGGAAAATAAGAAAAAATACGCGTGTGATATGCTAGATGGCGACATAGCAGCTTCTTGTAGTCGTCATTCATCCCTATCGCATCGGCACAGCATCGATAGTTTAGTCGGGCAGTTGATCAGTATGGGCATGTATGGAAGTGCGCACATTACACCGATTTGATTTGGCCGATTCTTCATACAAATTAAAATCGGGCACAACTAACGGCCACCTAAAAATCGGTGGGCTGCGCCAAGTCTTACACTGATGACTGACAAATTAATTATTTTCACAGATACGGCGAGAATCTCCCGCTCCACGCGGTCCTACGCTTAGCAGACGCTCTCCATTCGCTCGCCTGGCGCTGGGCGGCGCGCTGGTGCGGCGTGAGTGCTGTCCTGCTGCACAAGGACGTGGTCAGCCCGTGAGTTACTACTACTAACCTACTATTACTACTCTACTACTACTCTACTAATACGACTACTCTACTGCTACTACTCTACTACTACTAGTCTACTACTACTACTACTCTCAATTCGCTCGCCTGGCGCTGGGCGGCGCGCTGGTGCGGCGTGAGCGCTGTCCTGCTGCACAAGGACGTGGTCAGCCCGTGAGTGACGTCACACTACTTTACTACTACTACTACTCTCCATTCGCTCGCCTGGCGCTGGGCGGCGCGCTGGTGCGGCGTGAGCGCTGTCCTGCTGCACAAGGACGTGGTCAGCCCGTGAGTGACGTCACACTACTCTACTACTACTACTCTACTACTACTACTACTCTGCTACTACTACTACTATACTACTACTACTCTCCATTCGCTCGCCTGGCGCTGGGCGGCGCGCTGGTAAGGACGTGGTCAGCCCGTGAGTGACGTCACACTATTCTACTGCTACTACTCTACTACTACTACATTCCATTCACTCGCCTGGCGCTGGGCAGCGCGCTGGTGCGGCGTGAGCGCTGTCCTGCTGCACAAGGACGTTGTTAGCCCGTGAGTGACGTTACACTACTCTACTACTACTACTCTCCATTCGCTCGCCTGGCGCTGGGCGGCGCGCTGGTGCGGCGTGAGCGCAGTCCTGCTGCATAAGGACGTGGTCAGCCCGTGAGTGACTACTACTACTCTACTATTACTACTCTACTACTACTACTCTACTATTACTACTCTACTACTACTACTCTACTATACTACTACTACTCTCCATTCGCTCGCCTGGCGCTGGGCGGCGCGCTGGTGCGGCGTGAGCGCGGTCCTGCTGCACAAGGACGTAGTCAGCCCGTGAGTGACGTCACACTACTCTACTACTACTACTCTTCTACTACTACTACTACTACCCTCTACTACTACTACTACCCTCTACTACTACTACTACTACCCTCTACTACTACTCTACTACTACTACCCTCTACTACTACTCTACTACTACTACTACTCTCCATTCGCTCGCCTGGTGGTGGGCGGCACGTTGGTGCGGTGTGAGCGCGGTCCTGCTGCACAAGGACGTGGTCAGCCCGTGAGTGACTACTACTACCCTCCATTACTACTCTACTACTACTACTCTCCATTCGCTCGCCTGGCGCTGGGCGGCGCGCTGGTGCAGCGTGAGCGCTGTCCTGCTGCACAAGGACGTGGTCAGCCCGTGAGTGACATCACACAGACCCCGCCCCCACGCAGTCCTACGCAGACTTCTCTACTACTACTACTACTCTCAGCTACTACTCTACTACTACTACCCTCCACTACTACTCTACTACTACTCCACTAATACTCTACTACTACCCTCCACTACGACTCTACTACTACTTCGCTACTACTCTACTACTACACTACTACCCTCCACTACTCGAACTCTCCGTCAGAAGGGGTCGAACTCTCCGCCAGAAGGTTGGGGCATGGCCTGTCTTGACAGATATTGTATTACATATTTACAGTGCCGAGGTGCAGTACTGGCGGTCGCTAGGCATTCGCTGCGCCGGTTGGTGTGTGAACAGGCCTTTGGAGAAACTGTACTGGCGCGGAGTCCTCAAGGCGCCCTATTTGGCCAACACGCTTCTCGGGGAACCAGATGTGAGTATATCTAGACCAGTGTTTTTCAACCTTTTTCATGACGCGACCCCCCTAGTATGAAAAAATTTTTTGCGACCCCCCGACCGTTCGCTTTTTTTTCATGCCTTTTACAAAGATGTTGTAGAGGCCTAATTCTTCAATCTATACAACATTTATGCATTTGCATAATTAGATTTCGAATATAGGTAAATGTAGCTTTAAAACTTCTCTGATTATTTACTGAGGTAGTTTTTACGAGCTCTCGCGACCCCTCTATAGAGGCTTGAAAAACACTGATCTAGACCATAAAATTAATAGCTATAGTCCGGTCGCCGAGCAGATAGAATTTCGTCCAATGACCCCAAGCTAGCCATCCTTATCGCTCGCGCGTAATTATATTGCTGACGGGCGACCGCAGTGAGTGTGCGAGCGCGACAGCAATAGCTCGGGATCATTGGACGGAATTCGATCTGCTCGGCGACCGGACTTTAATAAAAAAATGGCGTCCTTTTAGCGGTAAGTGCTGTCACTGTCAAAAAAATGTATGGGAAAACGTCACTTTTAAAGTTTAGAAAACGTGTCCTCGCCGAAAACATGCTAATTTCGGTGTTTGTCATGTTGTAGTCGAAGTTAATCGGATTAAGATATTTAGGCTTGGTTGCACCACCTAACTTTAACGGTAACTATAACGATAACCGGAGATTTTTGAATGGAGTGTGACAGATTTTTGACGTTTGTTAAATTCAAAATAAGATGGTGCAACCCAGCCTTAGTGTTACTTCAAGCAACCTCGCCTCCCCGCGGTTGACTTCCGATTATTGTCAAAGGTTTTGAATTATTTCTACAATAGGTACACGGCTAACTTAGATTGGGCGCTGGATGCAAATCTTTACCAAGCGGCAAGCGTTCAATCTGGAAATCATTGGGGGAGGCCTACGTTCAGCAGTGGACGTCCTGTGGCTGAAATGCTGATGACGAGTACAGGACTATTCCCACCTCTCGTTCCCACCGCTGCAACTCCTGTGTAGCCAGGATCTACAGCTTGACTGCCAATAAAAACTGATGATGAGTATCAAAAAACATGTGGTTGCAAAAATTTCAGATCGAGAAGAGAGCCGAAGCGAAAGAACGTGATACCGACGAGAACGAACGCGCCGGTCCGCTCGTTGACAAACTCTTGGAGCCGGAACGGCGAATGTCCTCCGGGCAGAACTAGGCGTTTAAAAAACAAAATGTCACTTTGACAGCGCGGATTCTTGTTCTGTTTAAAAGACAAAATGTCACTTTGGCAACGAGGTTTTGTTTTTTAGGTTCTGCCCACGGCGTAAAGGATAGGCAGCCAAAACGCTTGATGTGGTCTTTTGAACAAATAAATAAAATTATTTTATTTATTTGTTCAAATTCTATTCGTGGTAAAAGAAAAGGTTGATTAAAATGGGGTTGTATTAAATTGAAATTGGAATAACATTTTTGATTTAGAAATTAACTAGAAAGTCTATGGTATGATTCTCCTTTCTGGAGTAAATTTTGACGGGTGTGATTTCTAATCTGTTCTTTTTTGGCGGGAATAGAAGCACAGATAAAAAATAACTATGTGGTTTAGGGACGAAGAAGCAAATTATTTGCTGATATAATTATTTGTTTTGCCGGGAAAGTTATATTTTTATTGTTTTCTATTGTAATGCGGCAATAATTTTGGCAACTACGTATCTATGACGTGCCTTAAAATGTATTTATTTTTACAAATGCAATTCGTTAGATAACAAAAGATGGCGACAAGTTGTAGTCTTCTTGTACTTTTATTTATTAATTGTCAAAAGATTTATTTATTTTTTGTAAGTTTGCGATAGGTAAATTAGTTTTAGTGAATTGAGCCAAATTGTCTTTAGAATAAGGTTGGGATTACAAAGACGCTTACTCTATGGTTGCAAAGCACTCACCATTATTATGGGCGATAATAATAGTGATGTGCTATCGACTGCTATAAAGGGAGTATCGATACTATTGTCATAAAAATGTTATCGCAACTATCGATAGTCCTATTTTTTTAAGAATTCTAATTGTCCCGTTAACCCCTCGTAAGCTGAATATGCTTGTGTTTCGAGTGGGCTCACCATAATAGTCGAGCAGCGGGGATCGAACCCGCGTTCCTCGGATCACGAGTCGGCCAGTCCGACACCTTCACCGTTCGGCTATCGTTGCTTCGAATTGATAAAATCGATGGTTCAAAATTACAAATACCCCACATATTAATATAAATGTCAGTGGAAAAGATGTTTCTTGTATCTTTGTAGATGGACGAGGATCAACGCGAACCACCGAAAAGGAAAGAGAGAGAGTTCGACTAAAGACCATAGACTAAAGAGTTCGACTAAAGTTATAGACTAAAGAGTTCGGCTAAACGGAATAGACTAGTGTAGAGGTTAGTCAATTTTTCACACCATGATGGTAGTATACTGTATTATTTTATCTTTGACGATTATAACATGGTTTTGTTAGCTTAAAATTTATTTTAGTGCAGCTAGCAAAATAAAACATGTATTTTCATAATATTGTTTTTAAACCCGTTAAAGTATCCCAAATAGATTCTTATCGATATATCTTTTTAATGTATTTATTAAATTATTTCACTTGCTATTGAAGTAAATTTTCTTCACTAAAAATTTATGGCAATAAATAATTTTAATTCAATATATTCCAAAATACTTTATTTATATTACTAGAAGAAGAAATTGTTAAGAAAAAATAAGAAAAAAAGATTTAAATATGAAAAGAGGCTGCTTTTGACTTTACACAAAATGTATTACCAAAAATGCAATATTTTAGCAATAATTATTAATTTTAAGTTTTGTATGACGGCGGCATATCAAGCTGGACATGGTAGCGTCTTATGTAAGTTGTAATAAGAGTTATATTGCAATAAAAATGTATATTTTGATGTGTCGTCGACTGATATCGGAGTAAGCGTCTTCGCGTCAGAGATTTATTTTTATTGTTTTATTTTAATTTTAAGCATTTGCTACACTGAATGCGGTCTGCGGTCAAATGAACTCACAGTTCACATCAATACAAAATGTTTTAAGACCGACAATGTTTTTTTTTTTAAAGATTATTAGTAATTTGTTATTGCACAAATTACTAATACTCCCGTTAGCCCCTCGTATTAAGCTAAATATGCTTGTATCACGAGTGAGCTCACCACAATAGTCGAGCGGCGGCGGGGACCGAACCCGTGTTCCCCGGATCACGATGTTTAAACACGATGCAGGCTGCGTTCACTTTGAACTGTCCGCAGATCGCATTCAGTGTAGCAAATCCTTTATTAGTTTTACGGCACCAGTGTATCTGTGGCTTTACTTTTATTTTTTCACACGTAATAGTGATGTGCTGTGTAATGTGTCGATAGATTTTATTTATTTCGTTATTTTTTGGTGCTTTTTTTATTGTGAAACAAAATTAATACAGTTGATTTGTTATTTTTTGACGGTTTTGTGTGAAATAATATTGAAAAGTTTATTGTCACAGAACTCTTTTAACCCTTAAGCAGATTTTAATTATTTTTAGGACATTATAAAGGGAATAAAATTAAATACAAAATATGCCTGCTAATGGGTTATCATTAACACGTTTTGAGAGGGAGGGGAATTAATTTTGTCTATTTTTTTCTCAATTCAACGATGTGATTTGTCTTGCCGACTACTATTTATTATTATTAATGCAGCTTACAAATATTAACTATACAAAATTTTGAGATCTTTTTAATGCATATTTGCTATTTTAAACTAATTAAATTGCGATAAAATTGTAACGTTTACATATTTTTAAAAGCAATAAAATGTTTTTGTACAAAATCTATTATAAATATAGTAGATTTTCGTAGCAAAAAGTGTCAATTTTAATGTGCAATTGACAACACATAAATTACCACAAATTGATATTTTTTTCAATTGATTTTAAGGCATATTATAAGGAGTTGAAGGTCAAAATCAATTGGAGAAATGTGTCATTTACGGTATTTGAATGTCATGCCGATTGTACTGTCTGCGAATACTATTTTAAGATGTAGAATACAATTTAAGTGCTTGTATTTTAATGTATTTATAATTTGAAATGGTACAGTTACCAGCGAATCAACGAGAAAAATGTTATAAGTTGATTTAGAACTTTAAATTCAAGATAGTACATTGTACAAGGAACTGAATTAATTAGAAAAATCAATTTTTCCGAGTTTTTATTGAAAGATAATGTTGTGTTAAAAACTCGAAAACGATTTTTTTTGAGTTAACACAGTTTATTAAGAAATGTGCTGTTGGCAAAAACATTTTTTAGAAGGTTGATTTGTTGGTAGATGTTATTATTTGCCACGTATGAAGACACTATTTCGAAAATAGCTATTCCACGACTATTTTTGTAAACGTAAAGTATTATTCTTACCAAATGGTATATTTTTTATTTAAGTGATGATTATTTTATTAATATATTTGCACAAATTCTCGTGTTTTAAACTAAAATGTACAAATTACTTTAGCTTGTGATTGGTAGTGAGTTGGCGGACATTTAAAGGTTTTATTTTAACCCTAAATCCGATGAAAAAAAAAATTATATTTTTTTTGAAACTACAAGGCAACAAAGTTAAAAATAATGTGGTTACTTTATCATTGTGTTTGAGGGTTAACGTGTACCTATGTGTAAGCGACCTATAACGTTACCGAAATACCGATCGATAGTGGATTTATTGATAAACCAATAACTTAAAGGCACAACTTTTCTAAAAGGCACATTATTTTTCTGTCCGCAAAAAATGGTTTTGACTTTCGATATGAATAGTATCGAATCTACTGTCTGCACTATTTTAGTGACTTGTCAAACTGTCTTTGAAAATGTCCGCAAACCAATGCCTGTGTGTTTGACTGTGCGTGCTGTAACTAGTTTTATCTGTTTTTACCATGTTTATCTCAATAAAGATTACGTATATTATTAAAAAGATGAGGTTTCATTCCTTTTTAGTTAGTTCCATTGAATTAGGTGATTTTTTTACTCATATAAAATCAGCGTGATAAAGGTGCTCACTCTATAGCATTCGCCTGTAACGTAAAGTTACGACGTTAGTAAGTCGATAAAGGAGAGAAGTCAGGAGAACCGAGCATTACCCTTGGTGCGCAACACTGGGCAAATTAATCTAAAATGTTCCCCTAAAGGTCGCGCGCGCACGGGTGACTGATTTGCACCACCAGTGGTGCAGGCCGGTGGTAGCCGCAAGGGTACAACAAAAAGACTGCCTTGTCCATAGATAAGAATAAGTATAAAATAATGATATTATACTTGTTACGGTGACAAAAGACCACAGTGCGCGTGCGCCTAAAATTTTACTATTTTTACATTTGAAGCGATAAATTAATAACCATAAGTCGGTGGCGCCGGCCGCGCCCCTGGACTATTATTGAACCCACATGTCCATGTAACACAACAATCATTAGCTTTACAAGAGGGATTATTATTATTTAAATTATACAGGCGAATGCTACCGGCGAGAGGCCCTCTAGTTTGTAAAATTATTGCGAAATTCGAATGTTATAGTAGGGAATTTAGTGCAAGAACCCCTCCACTTTGGTATAGAAGGCTCATTTTTGCACCAGTTGTTCTTTGGGTGCTCCTGAGTAGATTTCCGTCGGTAGACATCGGGAGCCCCCCCTGTGGTAGCAGGGGGAGGGGGGGCAAGTTTCCTTCTGCCGCGCTTCACTTTAAGGCCCATATCTTCAAAACTATGGGTATTAGGGCAAGTGTGGTGTCATTTTCGGATAATTAAAGGATGGCGAATTCATTTCTAGAACAAANCACCCAAAGAACAACTGGTGCAAAAATGAGCCTTCTATACCAAAGTGGAGGGGTCTCCATACAAATCATTGCACTAAATTCCCTACTATTAGGGCCTTAGAATAATCTAAGATTAAGGCGAAGGCAAGTTTTAATTTCCATTCCTTCCACCAGGTGTCGCTAGCTAGTATTATTGGTCGATGTTTTTAAGATCCAGTGAGCTTTTTATATTTAGATAAAAATAAAAGTTTATTAACATCCTAACCAATAGGTACTAACATTATTAAAATGAGATCAACTCGTTAGTTAGCAAAAACAAAAAAAAGTTCCATTCCACGTGATGTGTTTACCAAAACGTTTCGTTCCTTAGCTACATAAATATGTTTGTAGATTTTGACCTAGATAAAGTTCCTTTTAAAATTTTAGATTACACAATGTTTTTCAATAAAACATTTTAATTTTGATAAGAA